TAACCCCTATATAAACCCTATAATATAGTAGTTTCCATTTTCTTTTCCACTATCCCAAAGTAACCAGAGGTACATGGCATTATCACCCACCGTCTGAAGCTTAGCAGGGCTCTCAAGGTGAAGCCCATGGCGCTTGTGCCTTGAGCCATGTGCAGGGTGGTTAGTGCTAACCCCCCAACAAAGTCACCATCGACTGGCTAAGACTGTGTGAACCATAGTCTTAATAAACTCCTAGTTAGTATCCCCCTGAATAACCCCTATAATACTCCTTAGATAACTCCCTATACGATCCCTGTTGAGGAGCTTAGACTAAAGCTCAACATAATTGTTTACCGATTTTTTGCTTTATCAGTACTAATAATATCAATCTTACTTGTTAGCACCCTAAACCCTTAACCCTCAACCTTCTTATCATTACTACTACTTTTATTACTAGTATTAGCTGGGAGTACTATGCAGCTAGTGTCGTCGCTCTGTGGGCCAGCCAGCTGCCGGTGCCGTCGGCCAGCGGCTCGATTTCGTTGGCGCCTCGTCGCAGGCTGAGAGCAGAAAGAACCAGCAAAATGCCGCACATGCACGTTTATGGTTTTGTGTTTGGGGGTTTTATCCTAGTTCCTGCCAGGAAGGTGCTTATGAGCCACCTGAACCTGCTCAAAAAAGCTACCATTGACACCTGCTCACCTGCCTGTCATTCGGAGGCATTCGGAAAGTACCACGGCTCCACGAACGTCCAAATGACAGTCCCACTGCTACAGGGATCCGAAGAAAGAGCCATGTTTTAGGGAAACGCCCTGGCAACGTGAACCACATCCCTCTTGACTCCCGATTGGCCCCTACACTTTCCTTCCAGGCAGTACGAATGACAAGAACATAGGAACTACTGCTCGTTAATATTGACATGAATGCACATAGGGTAGAATCTTCTGGAAATCTCTTAACAATATCAAGCTTCTGTTCCCCCATTGCCTTCCAAGGTATACGCAGCCTCTCCCTCGGAAGCGCTACCGGCCATGGCTCCTGGAGGTTCTTAGTTGGTAGTTTCCCAAAATAGGGGGGACCCCAACATACACCCCAAAAGACTATAGTCCTTACCATTGGGACCCCCAAAATGGTACCCCTAATTTTGGGAAACCCTCAGTTGTTGGGCATTCAGAATGTAGAGTGTAGGGTTAATGGTACTCGGTCTGATGTGGGAAGGATACAACGGTTTGTAATACTTGCGTCAGGCTTTCTGAGAAGTACGCAGGACAATTGCAAGGACTGGTTAAGAGAGCTTTCGAGCACATATGCCCTTCTTTGCAGCCCAGTATGGATACCAATATCTTCGAGCTGTATGGGAAGTAGGCGGGTTGCGACAAATACTGCTATCAAGAAGACATCTATACCAGGATGTCAAGTACTTCAAGCATCCTGTCTCCTGGTCACCAGCAGGGTGTGCTCGCTCGCCGCAAGCAACAGACAAAGCCCAAATGACTGCTGGCTGGCTTTCTGTCAGACTGCCCAAGCTGTTGGAGAAGCCTGAAGTAAGGCCCGCAAGCCTGCGAAGTGGTGTGAGCCCTGTTGCCGGCTGGTCCGACACATACTTGCAGATCATGACTCAAAAGCCCTCACATAGGAATCGAGCCCCTGAAATTGTTAGGGTCCCGTTTTGGGGGATCCGCATAATTAATGAGGATTATAGTATATTGGCGTCCGATTTTCTAGAAACTACAAGATTAACCTGGGCCTTAACAAGTCATTTGACAGCGCTTTTTGCTCTGAACAGGATGTCGCAGCTTCTGCTCTGGGGATGTGCCAATGCTGCGCTGCTTGTTGGGCGGAATGCGATTATGTTTTTGGGGAGGGGGAAAACTTCCGTAAGATTGCTGGGTGTAATACGATCAATAACTACTTATTTGGGGAGTGTATTTTTGGGACAAAATTGCAAGGAATGTGGTCTCGCAGATTATTCTGGCCTCCCTTTACCTGTTAGACTTTCAATATTGCAAGTTCTGCACTTTGGGGTATGTAAGCGAGCGCCCTTATGTTGGCACCTACCCCTCGTACTTTGGGGCAGAAGCTGGAGGTGATACCCCGCACGCAGGAAAAATGTAAACTAGGTTGCTGTTGAGGTAATTAACTTGAGCTACTACATTGGGGAAACCATATGAATTACGCAATATACCCATGATTCTGGTAACTCAACTTAAGTTCCGTAACAGCAACCCAGTTAAACCACAGATCTTGAGCGCTTCTCCGCACTTGCAGCTTCAGGATGGTCGTTATCGTTGCCCATCCTTCCCAGTTACCTGTGCCATGCCCAAGTTGCACATTACAAGCATGTGTTGGTGGGTTGAACCAAGTAAGGCTATCATCTTCTGGTGAAATACCACAACTTAAAGAAGAAGCTAGTCTTACTCAATCCACAGAGTACAGTAATTACACAGATTGAAAACGACTTCCTACCCAGACAAGATTCACATTGCTATGCCCCACCTCCCTGCCTACTTCTTGCCGGTCACTGCGGCGGCAGCGGCTTCAGCGGCAGCTTCATCTTTCAACTTCTCCTTCCTCGGACTCAGAACACAGCAGGCATCTGCAAAGGGCTTGTCTTTGGAACTTCGGTCTTGCCACCTAAACCCGGGTAAATACTGGGTGTCAGTAGGGAATACGGGAATATATTATGTGGGGATTATGTAGGGATACATTCCCTTCTTCCCCAGTAGCAACCAGTAAGTGGTATGCCTGGCGCAATGTTCCTGGATAATGAAGGTAACATTAAGGGCTATGTATACTCATAGTAGAATTAGTAGAACTATTATCCAGCTGTCCGCCGACCTTGGGGGGCGT